CCTTGCGCTGATCTTTCTACGTGGTCTTTCCAACGGAGTGTAGGTTTTCTCCTTCCTCTTCCTCTGCTCCCACCAAGCGAAAACCAGAAATGTAGAAAAAATATCAGAAAGTCTTGGAAGAATACTTGACCTTGGACCACATGTAACCCACTTCACCTCTCGAAGTAATCAACAAGGGGAAGTACTTCTCATTCTATCTACCCCATCACGCTGTCATAAAACCCGACAGTAAATCCACAAATCCAGGGAACTCATAAAACGACGTACTACACACAGGCCCAACATTCCAAAACGACGTAAAGCTAATAATCCTCAATTGGCGACTCTATAAGTATGTTTTTAACGGTGACATTAAAAAATGTACCGTCAAATAATCGTTAATCAGGAAGATCAAGACTTCCAGCGAATACTCTTTCGGAGAACCCCCGACTCTCCAATAGAAGATTTCAAACTAAAGATAGTTACGTTTGGCGTTAACTGTGACCCATATTTAGCTATTCGAATCCTACATCAATTAGCTGAAAATTGCAAAACCGAATACCCTCTCGCAAACAATATGCTCATGGCATACAGTCCACTATCAACTCACTCACCCAAGTTATCGAAGCACCCAAAAAAATTCCAGAGTCTCATTTGCTGGATGCCGACTTTCTTCAATTCAGGGACACAAGCTCAACAAAAACTCTAGGAATACGCTGGAACGCGCTTACAGACTCATGTGAACCTCAACCCGCTGCAACGTTTAGTACTAAAGGCCAGATTTTATCGGCTGTGGCGAATTTATTCGACCCGGCGGATGGTTTTCACCAATTATGATAGTAGCCAAAGCAGTACTCCAAACACTTTGGCTAGAAGGAACGGGATGAGACGAAAACGTAAAGTCCGGATCCCTACATAAATAGAGCTCATTTCATTTCATGAGAATCTCCCGACCATCAAAGGCATCCAAATACCTCGATGGATGCAGTGCTCCCCCGACAAACCGAGGGTACCACACGGCGAAAACTCCTTCACCTCATATTTACAAAGGTAGCTCCTCTCCAAACGATAAATCCCCCCCCGTCTAGGGCTCTGTGGAGCGGTTTTACTTGCAAGGTTTGGTAAAACAAATACAAACAGAATTAAGTTTACCGCCTCACGAACTTATTCTGTGGACAGACTCGATCATTGTCGTAGCATGCTTAGAAAAACCTCTACACTCTTGGAAAACATATGTAGCAAACAGGACATCCTAAATCCTGCAACTGATAAGTAATGCTAAGTGGCAGCATATATGCATCAGCGAGAACCCAGCTGACCTATGAGCACGAGAATGTTGACCCCACGATCTCATTGAAAACACCATCTGGTGGAAAGGCCCTGAAGGGCTCGCCAAACCGGCCTTGCTCTCGCCCCCAACACCCCTCTCCTCCGGAAAAAAAGCACCTTAGAGTAATTGCATTGTTTTATTCATAGCTCACGAAAATTGCCATCTAGGGTGAACATGGCCCTAATCCACGAAGAGATAAACGAAGTAAAAATGCAACTCATAACCCTAACTGAATGAAGGCATTATGGTGAAACCATCGAAACTCGAAGCCCCAATACCAATCAGCAAGAAGGGCACGTTGCTGACGTTGAATCCTATGCTCGAAAGCAAACGGCTTAAACGCAGACATCAGAACGAACCACATATACATTACCGTTTCACACTACTGGGGTGGACTTCGCCGGCCCGTTCCTAGTAAAGTATCTACCCATCGCCGAGCTTCATATTCAAAGGCATACGTTTGTGTGTTTGTTTGCTTCTCCAGGAAAGGAATACACCTCGACTCTGCCCTTACTTGACTACGGAGGCATTTCGAGCAGCCTTTGCTAGATTTGTTAGACGTCTCGGACTGCCCTATAATATTACGTCCGACAATGGGAATACATTTGTCGGAGCTCAACGCACATGCCACCGCGAGTTTGGTGTGTTCGTGAAAGAAGTAGCAGCTGACGAATCCACAAAATACGCCACATTCGTCTTCTATTGGGAGTTTATCACACTGTATGCCCCTCATATGGGTGGACTATGGGAAGCAGCAGTGAAGAGTTTTAAGCTGCACTTCACTAAAGTAGCCGGAAATCACAAATTTAGCTTCGAAGAACTCACAACCCAGATGGTAAGAATCGAAGCGGTTTTCGATTCCCGACAGTTCTCAGCCATATCAAAAGACCCGCAAGACTTACTAGCACTCACCCCTGGAAACTTCCTCCGCGGTGCTCCATTGTTATCGATACCCGAACACAATGCCGAAGACCTTTCTCTGGTTCCCAAATAACAGAAACTAAAGGCGCTTTACTATCAATTTAGTACCAGATGGAAGAACGATTATCTCAAGAGGTACAAATGGAAAAGGGCGGAAAGCCACGTAAGGGAAGGAGATCTAATTGTCGTCAAGGATGACCTCATCCCCCCGAATGAATGGCGCCTAAGACGTATAACTAAATTATACCAAGGTGCAAACGAAAAGATCCGTGCGGTCGACATAATCACGCAGAACCGAACGATAACCCGAAATATAGTCAAATTGTGTGTGTTGCCCGCTGTGTGAACGTCTAACCATATGACTTAATCCCAACATTTACATATACAAACATACAACTCATATAAAAGCATCTAATGAAATCTCTTTTTCATTCTTCTCTCCTAGGGCACGACGTTGCGCCATTGCCCTGCTTTCCTCGCCATGGCACTGGAGGACAGGTATCAGTGCGCCAGTACTGCTTCAACTGCCTGGCAACCTCATATGCGACCGGCGAATGTGACTCAAGGTCTAGTTGCCATCGATGCACTCTCGGGCTTCATACTCTGCTCCATAGGGCAAAGATAAGGAGGATAAGCGGTACAGCGAATGCAGCCAATCCATGCAAGTTGTACCAATTGGTGAAGGACGTCCGGAGTTTGATTGGCAAGCTGCAGAGGGAGACAGAGGGAGACACAGGCTCCAACGCCGGGAACGTCATGTTGAAGACATGTATCTCCTTACGTTTTCAGAGTAATCCCCCTTCGTTGGCAGCGCCGCTATCTGCTGCCCAATGTGGTCCAAAGTTGCTAACCTTTACTACCTTTATGAACGTACTTACAAAAATACTTAATAGACCGAACTACATAATTCAACGTTATGTGTGCTTTGTAATTTTTACACAATAATGGTGAATATGGAACCAACCAACGATTATCACTATCTACTCTTACACCATTTGACAGGCGCAACTCATATGATTGACCACCATTGTCTATGTCTCTACTTGATCAACATTTGAATCCGGAATTTCCGCTGAAATAATGTTGTCTATTTTTTCTGGGCGCACTTTATACACTATACAAATCAAAATATGCGTATATGGCAAACCTCGTTTATGCCATTCTACAGAGTAAAGTCAGCAACGTGTTTCGCCATATACTGAGTGATGTGTAATCAAATTGATAAAAGATTTTAATTTTTGTTTGGATTTCATTCCAGTTTAGATTACATGCAAATGTAATGAAAAGATCTGGCCGACTGTACGCAAGTACATAAGTCATTGCGTCTTCAATATATATTCTTGCATATGAATTGGACCACCAGTGTATGATGATGGAACAATATATGCGGTGCCTATGTTGTGAATTTAATTTGTTCCAACTACGTTGTCGAGAACGAAGTTTTGCTTTATTAAACATTATGTATCGTAATCTCTCACTTTCAATTTTCGCATATATATCGACAACATACTGATGAAATAGCTGTCGGCATCGGAGAATTTTATTATCTTCATTGCAGTTGGATCACCAGCCATAACAACTGCAACTTAATTCACAGTTGGAACGTTATACGTGCGTGAATGCTCTCCATTAGGCACTTTGTCGGCTTTAATGACAATGACGCAGTTGTCGTTTTGCAGTCTGTTTGACTTGAGACTTGAATGATCGTACTAATTGGTTATTGTTTTGCAAGAAAGTTTCCAAAATTTCAACGATTTCTCGCTAGTCCATCTACTCTATACGATTGTATGCACAGCGTGTATTTGCTTGTTTTTCCTCATCGCCCAAGAAATAAATTTGTAAGATTTTTGGTTCGACGTTAGGTATCGGAAGCAATGAGTTCTACACAAGCAGTATAACCATCGATCTTTTAAGGGAACATTTTCCGGACCGTGTTATCTTTTAAATTGGCGACCGACACAAAATGGGATAGTAGTACTTAACAAACCCGCATTGCCTATTTGATCCTGTTATATATATGTATATTACTGATGGGACTTTCTTCTAATTTGGACATTTGAATTAAAGTTGTTCACGGAATCATATGCTATACAATTTTTTTTATTTACTTCTGGGATTGACACCTACTAATTGGAAATAAAGGATTCTTACAAATCTTCTTACTCCAAAAAGAAAATGGAAATATTATTATTTTCTCGTTTTACATACAAAATACTATACTATATACAAAGTCTATGAAATCTGAAAACTTGTTTATGGTAACTTAAATTTCGCGGATTTCTTTAATATAGAACAACATTTTTCCATGAAAAATTTTGTAAAAATCAATACGAATTTAATTTATTTTCTAGTAAAGTTAACAGATTGGCTTCTTTATTGTATGCTTTTTACTTTAATAAGAAGGAGAAGGAAAACTCCTAGAAATATTTATTTAAGGTGTCCGTCTGCCTGTCTTTTCGTCTGTTTGGGCGCAAGCTACTCGCTTAGTTTTAGAGATATTTCAACTAAATTTGGTTACCACAAGATTAAACTGCGGAATGACGTTGAAGAACAGATGATTGTTATGTGGTCGGTCTACTCTGATTGGGAGAAGAAAAAGTGCATATGTAGGTAAAAGAAAAATGATATGCAACTTTTAATGTTAATAATTTTCCCAAACATTGCTCTTGTCTTGTAAATATTTAAATTTAACTGCCATTACATTAACAAAATGTAATATATTAAATATTTCTTAAGGATAATGAGTATGCTATTTCTACCATGTATTTACCTCCGATGGCTTCACATTTAAGCAATATAAACTCGCCTTCATTGTACGGCCCGACAACAGTTGAGCGTTTAACACCGTTCTCGTCTCTTATGACGATTTCCTTAGGTAGGGCTTAAATTGAGTTGATTGAAATGCAATTTTAAAATATGTTATAATTTTACTAGAATGAATTAATAAAATATCTTACCAATCACTATCAAAACCATACGACTATTATAGGTTTGCGCCTTTACGAAATCGATCCGACATCTGTATATGCCAGTATCAGATATTTGACTATTTCGTATGGTTAACTGCGAAGGATTATTATTGAGCTCAAATTCTGCTCGATTCCCAAAAACAGTTTCATCAGACCATAGCTTTGCAATTTTAGATACTCCAGATCGTATATCCACACTAAAAAAAATTTAATATATGTATGTAATTAGATTTGTGTAACTCTGCCTTAAATCAGTAACGGCTAAAGGCTTTGTATACGTCTATACAACTACATCAAAAAAGGCTCACTGTGATATGGCGAAAAATTTGATCTCACCCTCCTCCTTTTCGATTTATTCAGAACATATTGATATATTCTCTTGCTTTGCTGACAATTCCCAAGCATAAGTATGCATGCGAAAAAAGTGCTGGAAAAATATAATATTCAAAAAAAAATGTTTCCTGCTGACCGAAAGCGGGGATATGCAATAAATAAACCGCGTATTTGGTTGTGAGGACCACTTTTCCACTTGTGTATACATATGTTAACAGGTATTTTCAGATATTTTGAAAGTGGCAAGGGTTATTTTCTTTCTTTACAGGAAGTCTAACGTTATAATGACCTACTCGCAACTTGTAAGGACAAGAAGGGATTTTGTAAACAGAGGCTTGTACAGGGCTATTCATTTTACAGTATCGAAAATAAACGGAAATAAAATGCATTTAAATCAGTTTTCTCATGAAATTCTTTTTGTTTTTAATAAATTTTGGGCTTGGCATTATATGTGAAACATTACATCATTGAAATGGCCGTATCTGGAATTCTTACACACTTCGTTACGTCTAAAGTAACTTTCGATCACTTTTTGACACTTATTGATCGGTATCATAACAATCTCTTCTTAGTTCTTGATTGGAGTTGGCACCGCTTACACGATTATAGCTAAATCAATATTAGCCCACCATTCCTCCCTTCTTTTCGCTGTGTGGTGCCAGTTGAAAATACCAAGTGTATCCAGGTCACTCTCCACCTGATCCTTCCAACCGAGTGGAGACCTTCCTCTTCTTCTGCTTCCACCAGCGGGTACGGCATCGAATACTTTCAAAACTTCCGTGCAATGAAATATATTTTTCGAAATGTCGTCCCACAGTTCTCTTATACCGTATTGCTGATGAGTGCTCTCAGAGAATAGGAGTGAAAGTCAAGTAGAAACCGCTCGGTAGTCTATTGTGATTGCAGCTTTTCAACGTCGAGCCTTCCTTGAGTTTGTTGAGGAGCATTCTTCGATACATAGACGCGGGTGCGTATCTTCACTGCGACAATGTAGTGATCCGAGTGGATTTTAGGACCGCGGAACGTTCACACATCTAAAACACTGGATTCATGCCTTCCGTCTATTATAACAAGATCGATCTGGTGGAAAGTTTTTCTATCTGGAGACAGCGAATTAGCTTGGTGAATTTTCTTTTACTGGAATCTAGTACTACAGAAAATCATATTTTTGGTTCCGGCAAAGTCGCTCCAGACACTCGTAAAAGGCATCTTTATATGGCAACTTTAGTAAATTTCACAAGAACCCACCTTCTTCCGTCCTAGTCCTGTTCCTGACATCAACCAGCTGGGCAGCGGCACCTTTTTAATTAACGGACCCTACATTCCAGGTGCATGCCCTCAAATCGTATTCCTTTAACCATTTGCGGAGGTCGTCATCACAAGGGGGGTCTCTCATCCGAGGCTTGTTTTGATTTTCCATTGCGTTAAAGATTTCATATCGTGGGCCCCAAACTCTACGCACAACCGCCTGGGATTCGTCTTCTTCCCATAGCTCGCCCGCAAACGGATGATTTTGAACTACTCAGAGGATACTTGGTCCCCACAGTCTGCGCCATTTCCGTGGGATACGTCAACAAACTCATTGGACCTTATCAGTGTGACTTCAGACTTGGTAAGTCAACCATTGACCATCTGAATCGGGAAGGGCCTCTCCTAGCCGTTCGATATCAAACAAGGTTTCAGAAAGGGTGATTCCTTATCGTGTGACATCTTAAATTCATTGCTGGAGAAAATAATACGAACTGCAGGGCTGAATTAAGAAGGTACACTCTCCAAAGAGTGTACATCTGCTGGCGTACGCTGAAGATATCGACATTATTGGCCTCAACAACGGCGCCGTTAGTTCTGCTTTCTCCAGGCTCGACAAAGAAGAGAGACAAATGGGTTTGGAAGTGAAGGAGTGCAAATTGAAATATCTCCTGTCATCGTATAAATATATGATGAGTCGGTTCTAGGATATTTTTTTTGGGGCTCAGGTCACTTTATTAAATTATGCTCCAATTTCGAGCCATTAAAAAATTTTTATTTTCAACCGATTTTGGATCATTATTATCAAGTAATACTTTTTTGGTTTCTTTTGTAATGATGATGATTGATATCGTGAAGTAAATTATTGCGCCGAACGTAGTGATTCGAAAATTTTCAATATCATTGATTGTAAAGGGTTCTATTCGGAGTTTTATTTTGTGTTTTTTACTGAACAGTTTAATATGCCTTTCGGCAGTAAATAAAAAAAGTCATTTAAAAATCATCCAACATTTTGTGACCATGTTATAAATAAATCAGAATCTGTAACCGTTTTTAAGCATTTTAAACTGCTAAACAAACTGAGACAAAATTCCAGTTAGTGCTGGAACAGCCAGTTAGTGCTCGAACAGCTAGAAGAAGACTTCTGGAAGCAGGTTTAAAATGGATGTGAAGGAAAAATCGTTTGGAATGGGCTCGCCGATACCAACATTTCACGGAAGAATATTGGTCGAAAGTTCTGTGGTCTGATGAATCAGGCAAGTGTACGTAATAATCATTCGCCGCGAACATTCATGGATTTCTATATACATATGTACGAGAATATACTAAGACGGCTCCGAACGACTGATGGTTTATTTTATTAACAGCCTTTATCTCCTTACGGAAGGGCGATCGCAATTACAATACTAACTTAGTTTTTTACTTAAATTGCTTTTCGGAGCGTTAAAATGACTTAGCGATAATTTTAGCGAATTTAACATTCGGTGTACCAAATACCTTGGTACGGGTTCTAGTTTGGAGTGAAATAACCAATTGAATTCAAGCATATATGTAGGAAACATTCGAATGCATGTCATGCCTGAATTTAAAAACAATGAAGACTGAATTTGTGATACAATAAAAATACTTGTTTTTTAATACTTCTTCTATTCATTTCTTCAGAAATTAATTAAAAACTGTGAAAACTAAATCATACCCATCAATTGTGCACGAATCCGTTCGGCTTCTAGAAAGAGTTCGTTGCGGATAGTTGTTGTTCTCACAGTTTGAATATTTTCATCAATTTCATTCTCCTCCAGTTCCGTTTGCTCTATGTTGGTATAGCATGCGGTTTTATTGATAATATTATGGAGTATTGCACATGAATTGACGATAGATACTAATGTTTTGTGACTATAGTTTAAAATGCGGTGCTTTGAGAGACATCGAAATCTTGATTTCAATATACCAAAAAAAAAAAAAAGTTGATCCATTAAGAGGTTTCTAATCATGGATGTCGTCCATATCCCCGAGTCATTACAAGACCCAGGAAAGTTGGCGTTTATTGACTAAAAATTCATGCTTGCATCACACACTGCCTCTACATTCACGCTGTAATCACCCTTCCGGTTCATATACAGGTTTGCTGGGTTTGTAGGTGCCATAATGCCAATGTCTGTGCAGTCAATTGCACCAATAACGCCTTTTATTCCAAACTTAGAAAAAAATCTGCAAAAAATTGTATTAATAACTTTATTAACTGTTTTAAAAAGTTGTTTTTACCCCCTTGTTTAATCTTTGCATTTCACTTCTTGTTGGGAACCTAATTTCTCCGGCTCTCACTTTGACAATCAAATTTGAAATATAGTGCAGTGATCGCGAAACAGAAGACTGGCTTATTTCTGATACGACCCGTGGGAAAAGAAATATATTATTTGAGATAAACCTCAAATAAAACAGCAAGGATGTCTTCTGTCTAAAAAATAAAAAGATTATTTAAAAATTATGAACAAAAATGAAAATTTACTCACTTGTCATATGGTGCTAATCAATTCATAAGATCCCAACAAACTGGTTTGTTCAGGCGAAAATGCTGAGTGAAAACGCTGTCTTCCAAACTAAATGGAAAATTTTTTTCTCTCAAACTTCTTAACATACGCTTTCTTGCACATTTTTCTTCATCTTCAATTAATTCTAAACGTAAAATATGTCTATACATTTTGTTTTTTTTTTATTTTTTCACAAATTACGAACACAAAATCGAACAGCTGATTGTTTGTTATTTCCTATTTCGCTGGTAACAAAATTTACAGGGTAATAGTGAGCTCAGAATACAAAATGGTAACAAAATTTACTGAATGGTAAGTTTTAATATCAAAGTAAATTTTGTTACCTCGACAGAATAGGTCCGTTTATGTATTTATTTATCGTAAAAAAGCGTTTTGTATTTATTGTATGCATAGTGTATCAAATTTCTGTAACTTGGTTTTTATCTCCTAATTTGGCGTTGTTCTGTATTGGTTTGCAGTTGCAGATTTTTTCGCTATTATTATTTGTTGTAGTGTGCGCAATATGTACATTTTTAAATTTTTTCATAGTACTATTTTTGCTTAGACGATGGACGCTACGGCGCCCACATATCTGCGTTTATGTTTGTCTATACTTGATTGATACTCGAATGTCATTTTTTTTTTCGATCACATCGAATCAGGCTTAGCCAAACCGAAAAGTAAGAGGCGTATCTATAATATACCAAATTTATTGTTATCTGCTGAAACTCGAATGTAGCGTATTGAGTCTCGTGAATGATTGTTTCCAACATTTTCGTTGCATGTGTGCCACTCCATCCAACCCAAAGTTGTCGAGTGCTGCGATTGGGTTGTATAAATTTTTTGCTAGTGTGATTGAATAGGCTCGAACACACCCGGTGCAGCTCTATGCTCAGTGCCGAATATTTTTTAGTTGTTAGCGATGTCGACATTATATTGTTATTTAATTAAGGTTAAAATAAAGTAAAGTAAATCGAGAAATTGCCCAAGTTATTTAAAAATGAAAATGAAATAGTAAACCAAAATGGCATACTTTTTATCCCATCAAATTCCTGCCAATTTGTGCATTGCACAGGACCATTACGCTTGAGTGTTTCTTCCAGCATAATTCTTCGATATAAAAGGTATTTTAAACGGTAGTTGGATGCGTTTCGTTCTTCTTAAGTTGAGCTGAACTTGGCGATAAGAACACTTTAAACATAGGCTCTGGTACTTTATTAGTGTTAATGATGATGACGACCGCCCTAATTTCAAACACTTACTCCTGTAGAGCTTATTTTATATCACCTAAGTCAACAGTAGCTTTAATTCCCTTAATTTCAGCAATCAGGCATTTCGAACTCTTCAACATGTAAGATTAAGGTGGTTTACAGAAAGAAACACACGACTTCAAGAAAGCCTTTTTCACTGTATTTTTGTCTCGTCTATGTTTCCCTGTTTTACAAGTTCAATGTGAAAATTGTTGGTCCTATTATCTTGGCCATGTTCACTACGAGTAAATTAGAGCTGCGCTCCCACAACTAAATTTTCGGAGGTTTTTATTGGCGACTGTAGATATACCCTTTAGGTCTGTTATATGCTCTGAGGGATAACTGAAAAATCCAACCTACCGGTGACCAAGAACAAGTAATAGTCCGGACTTCCCTGAACACGAAACCCATCGCGGAAGGTCGCGGTTACTGTGACACTAAACAGCTGCAGATTTGTTCATCTGCTGCTATAAACTTGCATGGGGAAAAGGAGAAGTAATTTATTTAATTATTTAAAGCACTTAGTAAGTAGTTTTTGATACAGAAAAGCGAGAGGGGGAATCACAGTTGGTGAAATGTGTATTACATTCGTTACACAAAGATCTAAAAGTGCTGTGCATTTCAAAGTTTGTTCTGCATGGGCCCTATTAAAGGCACCTATAGTTTCTACATGATCTTAAAGGAATGGTAAAGTTAAGCTCGCTCAGTAGGAATAGCCCAGATAACGCCTCTTATCAGTGTATGTAGATTAATGAGCCGTAAATAGCTTTTCTAAGAAGGCATGTTCTTGTTACCAATCCCGATTAAATTTTTTAAATCGAATAGTAGGAATTGCTTTTGCAAAGATTACAATTAACCACTTTCCGATTGATAGTGCGGACTCCATACAATTGAGCCAAATTCCAAAATGGGATAACAAGTGAGGTAAAGAGTAATTTGGTAATGTATGGGTCCTTGAAATCTTAGCACTGAATATGTATCATATAAACAAAGGATTTGAAAGATTTACTGGAGAAACAAATATATTTCCACTTATTTAAATTTAGGGACATACAGTTCACATCGCACCAGCTAACAAAATTATTTAGGTGAAGCTGCAAGTGAAGCTAGGTCGCTCTCCATCTGATCCTTTCAACGGAGTGGATCTCTTCCTCTTCCTCTGCTTTAACTATCGGGCACTGCATCGAATACTTTCAAAGTTGCAGTGCTTTCATCCATTCAGACGACATGACGTAGCCAGCGTAACCGCTGTCTCTTCATTTGATGAACTTTCTTAATATCATCGTATAGCTCGTGCAGCTAATCGTTCCATCCTGTACGGTATTCGCGGTTGCCAATGCACAGTTCTCAAAATTTTCTCTCAAAGACTCCTTGAGCCGAACCAACAGCTGTGGACATCGCCCACGCCTCTGCGCCATCTAGCAGTATGGGAACGATAAGGGACTCGTAGATTGTAGATTTTGATTTTGTTCGTCGGGAGACGAACGACGATTTTAGGGCTGACATTATTGGTGGTGTTGATGCTGGTTCCTAGATAGACGAAACTATCCACGACCTCAAAATTATGACTGTCAACAGTGACGTGGGAACCAAGTCGCGAATGCAATGATTGTTTGTTCGATGACAGGAGATATTTCGTCTTGTCCTCGTTCACTACCAGACCCATTCGCCTCGCTTCTTTATCAAACCTGGACAAAGCAGAACTAACAGCGCGGTTCTACATTCTTATAGATTGCACCTTCTCCATTCAGCTCTTCAGTTCGTACTATTTTCTCCAGCTTCAAATTGAGGAAGTTACACGATAAGGAGTCGGAGAGATCCTTTCCGATCCTGACAAATCTTTTAGTGTTGCTCAATGTCAGTTTACACAGCCGTATAAGTTTTTTGGGGATACCAAATTCAGACGGAGTAGAGGCAGCCCCTATTCAAGCTGTCCAAGACGGTCTTAAAATCGACGAAGAGGTGGTGTGTGCCGATCCTGTTTTCAAGGGTCTTTTTCAAGATTTCGCGCATGGTGATTACCTGGTCAATGAATGATTAATCAGGTCTAAAGCCAGACCGATAAGGTTCAATCAGAATGTTGACGGTGGCCTTAGTCTTTCATACGATACGTGCGATAGTCCCTTATATGCGATATTTATACGGTAGCCCATCAGCTTCAGCCATTCAACCATTTTGGCCACATTTGTTTTTCCTCAATATTGGAACCCGGCAAAAACCATACAAACTAATAATAAATCGAATTTTAACATCAGTCCTATCGCAATACTACCCTTCTTACCTAAAGTACTTGTACGCATTATGAATGCTCAAATAAATTCTTTCCTAAGTCGAAACATGCTGGTGAATCGGTAACAATCCGGTTTCATATCTGACAGGAGTTGCATAACGGCGCTAATTAGGGTATCGAATGGCATCAGGCTCAACAGAGACAAAAATCGGGTAACGTTATTAACACTTTTGGATCATTCCAAAGCTTTTGATACTGTGAACAATGAATTGATAGCTTTGAAACTTAGCAATTTGCTTCATTTCTCATTGAAAGCAACATACTTAATAAAATCGTATCTAAGTGGTAGTTCGATCCTACTTAATAAAATTGTTTCTAAGTGATCGTTCGCAAGCTGTATGTCTACGTAACGTTTTATCGAACCATTTACACATACGTAAAGGTGTTCCACAAGGATATATTCGTGGGTTTTTGCAATTCATTTTTTTCAATTCTATGTCAGTTGCCCTTTTGACTCCGTCAATGATTGCATTAATGACCTTAATACCGATTTCGATCACGTTAGCAAGTGGGCCAGCGATAATGGTTTACATCTAAATCCTAGTAAATCGCAGTGCATTGTCATTTACAAAAAAACCTTTTAAACTTGTAGGCTACAATGAAGTGAAACTGAACAACTCGGTTATTAAATTCGTGCATACTGCCAGAAGCCTAGGAATAATCTGCAATATATATAATGCTATAGGTAAGGGGTTA